CATATCCAACTCCGTGCGTGAGGTCCGGCGGAGCGGTGACATGCGGTCTCACTATTCCGCAGAACCAGGATGCAGCAGCAGCAGCCAGAACAAACCGAAAACCCCAGCCGTGCATCTCGTTTGCCTGTCAACCCGCGACGGCACAAGGTAGCGCCAGAGCAACGGAAGCGTGTTGCAACAGCGTAAGTTGCTTGTTGAATCTCTAAAATCTTGATCCTCTATCGTTTACTGCTTTTAATTTGCTGTCTACCTTCGTTCTTTTCTACCAACCCCCTTCCTTATGCCAAGTAGCATCTCTTCCCTGGCACACGATAATCCCATCACTGTCTCATGCCGTTCACTCAACGTACTGAACTTCCTCCTTAGGTGCAACAGCTGCAATGTCCGTCGCATCAAATGCTCCGGTGAAAGGCCATGCCGCCAATGCCGCAGCTCATCACGAGAATGCCAGTATCCCACCGTGATCGAGAAAGTCTCCGTCGCTAGGAACGATCTAGATGATCTGAGGAGGAAGCTTGAGATTGCAGAACGGGCTCTGCAGATTGCCGTACCCGACGACGTTGCGAGACAGCAACTGTTGCAACAGGATGTTGACGTGAAGGGCTCTCGTGCCGGGTCGGCTCCATCCATCACACCCCCAGAGCCGCATGATTCTTACGGGGAAGCGAGTAACGAGATTGTTGCCGAGACCGCCGATGGACGCCCACTGCACGATCAGGATGGAAGAACCCGTTTTCTTGGCGAGACCTCTGGTGCAACATTCCTTGACTATCTCAAGGAGTTCATGTCCACCGTCATGCCACTTGCATTCAGCCCCCAGTGGCTGTCACCTACGCCAAATAGCGGTTTAACATTTCTTTCTTCCCTCGGCAGTTATCAGACATACGACTCTCGTCCCATAGAAGTCGAGTCGAACGCGGACCCTCTCTCATTGCCTCCCCGGGACGAAATGGCTCATATGCTCGCCAACCTCCGCTACTTCATCCAGGACGGCAACGGTAAATTCCCGTGCGGCGGCATCTATTGGTGGGGCGATCTCAGCCAACCGCCCACCGTCCAAGCTCCCACCGTGTCCGGCGACCCGAAGCCCGAGGTGTTTCCGTCCGGGACCCCTCAACAGGTCGTCTCCGACAACTATCGTCATCTTGCATTCTACCATACAGCCTTTGCCGTCGCATGTCAGGCAAATACCACGGCGAGATCGATGCCGTTCCCAAAAGACTTGAGTCAAAGTTACTTCGCCCGCGCCCGCCTGCTACTAGGCAATCCTCTTGATATTACTCGGTATACCATCAGCGACGTTGCCGTTCTAGCACTGATGGGCTTCTACCTCATCGAGATGAACCGTCGCGATGCAGCCTACGTCTACGTAAGCAATGCCATGCATATATCCATCATGCACGGCGCTCACCGTGGCTGGGTCGACGAGCGAGGCAAACGCGTTTTCTGGACTCTTTATATTCTCGATCGTTGGCTGAGCTGTCTCATGGGCCGTCCTCCTATTATCATGGACGATGCCATCCGGCTACCACTGCCTTGTGATGACCTGTAAGTTCCCTTGACCCGTCCCAACACCCTGGCATCCTACCCGAGGGAGACCTCCCATGATGGATTCCTGTCGATGCAGTAAGACACTTATCCAACACAATTGTTAACCCCCATGTAGTGAAAAGCCAGGGTCTTTACCCGCTGCAGCCGGACTTCGAGCCCACGTCGAGCTGGCCCGCATTTCGGGCCACATTGTCTGCAACACATATAGAGTCGCCCCCTGGGATCGTGGTCCCGGAGGTGCGGCGCGGCACATCGACCGAGCGCTGCAGTTGCTCGGGAGCTGGCAGTCATCACTACCACCTACCCTGCAAATGTCTACATCCCATCCAAGTAGCGATCCCTCGTGCTGTCTCCTGCATATGGCATACAACCAGGTAAGCTTCTTTTGCCCTGTCGCCTCCCTTTCCCTCCTTACGTTACTCCTCCGAATGAGGATGGGGTTATACGCTCCCCCCTCCTTTCACTTCACGACACCCCTCTCCCAGTCTGGGAATAGAGAAAACAATCTCAACCCCGTACTAACTCCAACTCTTCCCGGAACCTGCAGCTTCTCATCCTTGTCGTCCGCCCCATCTTCTTCGCTGCTGTCAAAAAGACCTTTGCCGAGCGCTACATCACCTCTGAGCGCCGTTGGGAATTCTCGCACCACGCAGACCGCATAAGCTCCTGCTCCAAGGCGGCGCATGGAAACCTGTACCTCGCTCGTTGGCTGATGACTCTCAATGGTGGGACTCGCAAGTTCTTGCAAGCGGGGTTGCATTACATATTCAATGCCGCCATTATTCTGATGCTGGAAGAGCTTCTCGTCTTCTCGCCAGCCGCGGAGCCCGACGATATCAACGTCAACTTTGCCATCGGCGTCTTTGAAGAAGAGGCCAAGACGGAGAGCAACTACGCTCGCGACTGCGCCACCGTCCTGAAAGACCTCCAGTCTATTGTTCAGAAACTGCGACTGGACAGCCAAGCTGTCTTTACAGCCCGCGCTGGTGGTATCAGCGGAGGTCCTTCTACCCCTGGCTTAACGTCGGACGACGTAACGAACGTCAGCAGCAGCATCAACACGCCGTCCACATCATATTCTCAACAATCTCAGCATCAAACCTTCCCGCCCGGCCCAAGTCATCATGTGTTGTATCCCATGACGACGGAGCATGGCGCGTTGTATGAAGAACTCGTGACTTGGGTTGAACACAACGACGCACAATTGTACAGTAATAACTATTCCATATAAACCATCATATATAAACAAGAGCCAAATATTTCAGAAATGCAAGAGTAGTTTCGCTCGGTGGGGATCGTTGGTGTCTCAAGAAAGAGAAAAGAGTTGAAGCTTTATTGAACCGGGGAAAATGAAAATTGTTTAAAAGATAGATAAAACTCCGCGCCATGTCTTTTTTTTAAGTTCTTCAACACAAGTTCCGAAGAAATGTTGAGAAACACCCGCCCAAGGGCACACACACACAAAGAGATGTCGTCAGGTACACATGTCCCATGCCAATGACTAATCCAATAAGAGACTCATGAAATGTCTTTCCCATCCCTCACTCTCTCTAATAAGAATAAAGTCGTAAAAAGTAAATAAATGAATAAAAGAAAAAAACGTCTAGTTGGAAACGGTCTTGGCCCTCGGAGTAGAGGGGAAGATGGAGTCGACAACCTCGGCCGATCTCACGGCAAGAATTGACAAAAGGGTATCACTCAGCTGTTGGAAAGAAGCTCGTCAGTCACAATGTTCCAGGTGGTGTGTATAAGATGGTGTAGTGGGGTAATGAGAGAAAAATGAGTTGGCGGGGTTCAACTTACTCCGTGGGTCGCTTCGCAGCATCCCTGCAAGAAAACACCAGCATCGGGCGCCACGGCGCCAGGGGCATATCGCACACGGTAGTCGCGTCCGACCTCGAGCTTCCTCGATCCCGAGGTCGCGTCAGGACCAGCGATTTCCCATCCATCGACAAGCTCGCGCTCGCTGGCGTTGCCGGCGGGGGTGATCTCGGGAAGCAGGTTCCAGCTGTCGCGAAGCATATCGATGTGAGCGTTGCGTTGGTAGCCGGTCGCCGCGACAATCAGATCGACGTCGAGGACCTCGTCACCGGGTAGCTGGTTGACGAAGCCATCCTCAAGGCTGTCGCCGGCGGCGTCCTCGAGGCGGCGGACGTGGATCTGCAGGCGGTCGGTCTCCTTGTTCTCGGTGACCTGGGTGATATCACGGCCGAAGAGCATGCGGTGGGGCCACTTGCGCTCGTCGTAGCCGAGTGTGCGCTTCTGGTGATACAGCATCTCGTACAGGGCCTCGATGAGCTGGAGTCTCACGACGCCGTAGTTGGTCGCCTTGGCCTCCTTGATGAGAGAGCGGCGGTAGCTCTGGGACTTGGGGTACAGCTCGTCGACGTAGGAGGGGTTGAAGATGGAGTTGACAAACGGCGAGTCGTCAGCGGGCTTGAGGAACTCGGAGCGCATCACCATCCACGTCTTGGCGTTGGGGTACGCGCGCTGGACGTCGCGGAAGATCTCGGCAGCAGACTGGCCGGCACCGATGACGGCAACTCTGTAGGGTCTCGAGTTATCCTTGAGAAGCTGCGGCACGAGCTGGGCGTACTGGGAGGAGTGGATGATCTTGGGGTGGTTGGCGGGCATGACCTTGGGGATGCGCGGCTGGCCGCCGTTGGCGATCAGGACGTTGCGGGTCTGGTAGGAGCTGACCTGGCCGGTCTTGATGTTGCGAGACTTGACCGTCCAGGTCTTGATGCTGCCAGCAGTCTGAGGGTCGGGGGAGACGGAGACAACCTCACGGCCGTACTCAACAACATCGTCAAAGTGGCGAGCACACCAGCGCAAGTAGTCCTCGTACTCGGCGCGGGCGGGCAGGAAAGTGTCCAGGTTGGTAAACTCGACCAGGCGGTCGTTGCTGTGGAGGTAGTTGAGGAAGGTGAACTGGGAGCGAGGGTTGCGCAGGGAGGCCATATCCTTGATGAAGGAGATCTGCATGCGGGCTCCGGAGAGAAGCATGCCCGGGTGCCACGCGAAGGCTGGCTGCTTCTCGAGGAAGAGCACCTTGGCGGCGCCTGAGCCGGAAGCGAGCTGGCGACCGGCCTCCTGGAAGTCGTGCATGGAGACGGCAACAGACAAACTGGCGGGGCCGAAGCCAACGCAGATGAGGTCGTGGATATCGCTGTGGTCGGTGGGCTGGAGGTACGGGGACTTTTGGATACGGGAAGCACCGTTCTGGTGGCCATTCACACCGTTGCCGTTCTGGTGGGCGGCTCCGTTGCCGTTGGTGTAGCCATTGCCGTTACCATTGTAGGTAGAGAAGCCGCTGCCGGCGTCGGAGCCGTTGGTGGGCGAGTCGCAGTGAGGAGACATGGTGACAGGTAGTGGTGGTGGTGGGGGTTCAAATTACGGAGTTTGGTGTAAGTGTGCGTGAGCTGAGTATATAGACAAGTCGCAAACAGCGGCTGGGGGTATTATTTGACGAGCGAATGGGTCGATCAATGTGCCAGTGACAATGCAGCTGAGCGGGAAGAGCAGGGGCTTTAAAACCATCAGCTTCATGACCTTTGAAATCTCACTCTTTGGAAGAGTGGGAGCACATCAACTGACCTTGAGGGCGTTACTTTTCGATTTTGAGACGGCTTGAATAAAAGCCCGGTGTAAAAGTGGGATGCGGGTGCGAAACTGCGCGGGGTATTTTTTGGGTGTGGTCAGAACTTTTTTTCCCGTCTAATGCTGACTTTTTCCTTGTGATTGATCCAGAGTAAGTCTCAAGCCACACTGTTCGTCATCGACTCTTAAAAGAGTGGCGTATCTGGTTGAAGCCTTTGGGTATAATGAAGATGGGCCACCGGTTGAATGGGCGGTTGAGGAAAGGCTTGATGAGAGAAGTGGGAGCTGGTGAAGAAGAATCAAGAGACGCACAGGAAGCAGAGGAGGGGCATCGAGGGGCTAATATGTAAAACGGGCAGACGTTGATGGATGCCCGCGTCCCATTGAGGCGGCGTGATCGACCGACAAGTTCGAAGCTGGACCGCTGGACCCTCGCCTCGGAGCTCACGAACGAGCAGATGGAGATTAGGACTGGGTAGGGGTATCCGTACTCTGTACATTGTCGTTTGGTTACACGCCCCAGAGGCTGGGGACTAGACGTATTTGGAGGAGCCTACTCAAATTGCAACATTCGGTTCTTCGCGCGAATGGGGCAACGTCGATGCCGCGATCCTGTCATTCTGCCGGAGAAGGCCTACACTACGGAGGACAGGACAGGACCCTGGCCCATCTCTCTTGGGAGAAGAGCTGCACAGAATGCCGTGGGTAGTGACGGTACGGAGTAGTACGGAGTATAGGTGCTTGTCATAGGTATTGGCGTACCTCGTGGGCGCAAAGAGCGAAGCGCCAGCTCGGCTCAAAGCAAGAAGCCATCCACAACGGACGCCTTTCCACATCCAGGGGTTGGGGCCAGGGACAGAGTCGCAACGGGCTGACTCCAGAGATGGGCTCGCTAGTAAGGGATCCCCTGGGAGGGTCTGGGTCCTGGGTCTTGGTCTGGGTCTCGCAGACTGGAACCCATGCCAAGTTCATGTCCAAGGTACTTTGTATCCGTACATAGGTGGTGTAAGTGGTCCTTTGGTGAATGGAGGAACTTCTTGAGTGGGCGAGTGGATGATGTGGTGCAATGAAGGGTTGTATGTACATACAGACAAGAGTGGGAAATGCGCTTCGGTTGACGGAGAAGATTAAGGTAAGGTAGAGAGCAGCGCTGCATTGTCGATTGCACGAGGACGGAAAAAGAAATGAAGAACAAGACCCCATAATCATCGAACCAAATCCGTCTGAGATGGTGTCCAGCATCAGCGGCGGCGAGCGGCGGTCGCACGCCTTGGCGTTGCTGGCTCGTTTGCATGTGCCGGGCCACAGGAGTGGAGCGGACGGGAGGGATGGACCGGAGGCACAGAAGCTAGAATGAAAATACCGAAGCGATTGAGGACCTGACAACGGGTTGAGCGTTAAAGTGAGCGCCTAGAGATGATGGATGGACCGTAGACGACCCGACGAACGAACAGTTTTCCCAACGCGGGGATGACAACGACGTTGACTGGACCCTGGAAAGGCTCAGCTGATGCTTGTCCGAGGCAATCAAGGTATCGATCGATGTTTTTGTTCAGTCCGAAGACAACCGCCATTCCTGGTATGTGGGACATTTGCGAGTCCTCGCCTCATTGCGAACTTGTCTGTTCCCCTCATAGTATCTCGTATCTCTCTCTCTTGTTATGATATTGTCTTGGGCTCTCTAGCACTGAGGTGCTTCACGTCGGTAAAGTATTTGGGTTGCTTGGGCACTGGCCGTTGAGACTAGAAGCCGCCGGACAAGGGCGATGACATCGAGGCGTGGTTTGAAGAAACTTCACGGGCATGGTAGCCGTGCTACGTGCAGTAGGCCAGGCCAAAGCCGTCGGTTTACGAGAAACTTGTCGGCGACGGTTTCCCAGATGATGCAGATCGATGGTGCCAGTAAGACCCACTCCAAATTGGTCGCGATGCAGAAATCGGACGGGGGACCTAGATGCAGGGGAGACGAAGATGTGGGAGTCGAAGGGGACGAAGAAAAAAAAAAGGATGTTAGTGAACAGGGAGGGAGGGGTGAGACGATGACAGGTCAAAAGGAGAGAGAAAAAAAAATCGATGATGAACAGTTTGCACGACCAAGTGGAGTCGGGGGAGGGGTCATGATGCGATTTCGGGGTTATCTTCGGATCTGATAAGATCAAATCTCTCAGGTCCCTCCTTCCTTCCTTCGGTTCAAGGCCGTCCCAGGTAGGAGGGAAGGAGGCTAAGAACAGGCCTACGCCGCCTTCCTGACGTCGCGAACCTTCCATACGTACCTCCACGGTACCTGTGTCTTTCCTAGCTGCATGCCTCAGGTACGTGTACCTACCTTACCTACGTATTCGTACACGCAAAACCTGGAACTTTTTGTTGTTTTATTTGGAAGTATCCACGGATACCTCACACTACCTTACCTGCCTGGTCTGTCCTTTCCCTCCTTGGACTGAGGCAAGGTAGAGTAATGGAAAGTCATGCACCGGTGGAGGCTCCTTTTTCTTGGGAATGAAACAGGAAAGAAGGGACAAATAACTTCATGTGCGCGGAGGTTACGTGCGAAATTGTTAAGGTCGGGAAACCAACCGAGGCAAGAAAGGCGTACCGTTATCAAAAGTTCCTGCCTACCTTACCTTACTCAAGGTATTCTGTTGCAACCCAGTGTCTTGCTCGCTCACTTGTTTGTACCACAGGGCTGTGGCGGGTTTGTCGAACAAGTCTCGAAGCTCGAAAAGATGAGGGCCAAGATGCAGGTTGCGTTGCAGATGCTCACCAAGAAAGAAACTTGACGGGTTGTGGAATGTGGAAAAACCGGGGCATTTGCGATCCAATGCGCGCTGTGGAGGCGGCAGGATCACCAAGAAAACATGAGTCGGGTTGTTGAGATGGTACAAAGCTTTGCTCCGAGAGCGGGCAGTGCGACCGGGGGGTTCACGAGAAGACCTCGGAATTGAGGTTCCAAGGTGTGCCATCGCCTGGCCCCGGGGGGTGTGTTGGCATCAACCCCCAGCACTGGAGATGCGTACTTGTACAGAGTACGAGACTATTAGAATGCGTCCATAAGCCCATTGCGTAGTATTGGGAGAGGACCTTGTCTTAGCGCAGAGGAGAGCGTGAGTGAATGAATACTCACACGCGCAGTAGTGTGAGCCCTGGCATTATGCAGAATGAGGTACTTTGCCTCCCTTCCAAGACGCACTTGGTGATGGATCTAATCTGACAAGATGTGGAAAGAATCCGTCCGTTGTAGTACGTACCTCTTCTGGAGCTACCGGTATCCATGCCACACAGCACGCAGTGACTTACAACCACTACCTTCCCTTGACTTGAAGACTTGTTCTTGAGGGAGACAACCACCAACAGCATGGTACCTAGTAGCTAGTATGCTAGAGGACTATCAATTTGCCTCTTTCAGGATGTAGTGCACAATGTCAAGTACGGGTGAGCGAAGCGGGAAAGCAACATCCTGTTCCGGCCTATCACGAAGAGTGCGGGCCGGAGACCGGAGTCGAGGCGGAGAATGGGCAGCTCCCATCTGGACAGCCAGATTTGCAGACAACGTGGGCAATGGGGATATGGGGAAACACCAAGGGTTTCTCGCAAGAGCCCCCCGGAGCCATTGGCGAGCGTTGAGGTGATTCATGGCTTTGCAGTGATTGGGAAGTGTATTAAATTTGTGGCTCGATATGCGAATGAGACGCACAGAGAAGTGAAAAAATTCGAGAGGAAGGGGAAGAAAAAAAAAACGAATGACTGAGAGCAGTCAACCGAGGATAATGTCGCCTCGTCGGAGTTTGCGGCAGTGGAGTATTTTAGCCTGGGACCACCTCATTCAAGACTGGCACATTGGGTGGGTGTGCTAATTGTGCTTGTGCGGTTTTGCTGGTTTTGCGGGAATTTTTGGCGCGGTTGGCATCATTTTGCCCGAGTTATCTGATGATCTGATTATCTAAATCTGATAAGATCCGGGTCTAATTAGGTAAGGCGTACGTACCTGCTGTCTTAGGCCCAGTGACGATGCCACGATGGCCCCCGTCCGACCGTCGATGAACCTAAGCCCTGGTCCTGACGAGGCTTTTTCCCTGCCAGGACGGGACTCAAGAGCCACTCCATGGATGAGGAATCCGCGAAATCCATGGCATATTTAGCGTCAAACCCACCACGCATCCACTGGCGATCATCCACAGCCTTTTCCTGCATCTGTGAGTGGTAACATAAGCACGGGTATCCGTCCATTACCTTGGTATGTATCCGTAAAGTAGCTGGTGACAACGGCAAGAAACGACGGACGCAGGGAGGGGGAAGCGGGCAGGCAGACAGTGACAGGCAGGCAGGGGAACGGCACCTGAAGAAAAATTCGACATGCGGCATGGGCATGAGCATGAGCATGAGGTGGGCGTTTCCATGGCACGCTGCCCGGATGCACACGTACCTTAACTTGGGTACGGAGTAAGGTACGTTACCTCACTTCTTCGGGGTCACCACGAAACCTGAGCAGGCATGCACTGGGGGTGCAGACTTGCAAGTCGTACTTACCTACCTTACCCGACTGCAGTTGACTGCAAATGGGAAAGTGCCGCCCGGCCAAACGAGGACCTGCCACCAAGCAGCCCCGAGCAGGAGCAGGAGCAGCAGCAGCAGCAGCCAGCAGGAGGAGGCAGGAGCCAGCAGGAGCACTCGCCGAACCCCAGAAAAGATACCTACCGTGCTTCCTTGGGTGGGAACTGGGAAGGCAGGAAGTCACTCTGGGCTGTCCCTCCGAACAGGCAAGAAGAGTCAAGACAGGGAAGGTGGGAAAATCTCTTCACATGGATTCCCACCATCCCGCCTCTCGAAACTCGCACACAGCATTCACCAGGCACCTCAGTCCATTCAGCATTTCTCCATCATGGTGCCCTTCTTGTTCTATGGGTATTGTTATTCTTGTGTGTGTAGGTACGGAATACGCCCGGAGTACGGAGTATTCGTACGGATATCTTACCCCCCAGCCTGACGGGACTTCTCGCACGCACACTGCATAAGCGACTTTGCACTTACTCATTGCCTTCCTTGTTACTCGCTCTCACTCTTCACAAGAGCAGCTACTCCTCAAACAGACTGACTCTCGCCATGCCCTTGAGGCATACGGAGTACCAAGGTTCCAATCCCATTTCTGCAATACCACAAACACCACCGACTGCCGACCAAGAACCACCGAGTACGGCTCAATCCCGCCGCCCCTCTCGTACCCGACAATACCATCGAGTCCATACCCGAGTAGGTAGTCAACCTGGACTTCCTTTCGCCGTGTCCTGCGGCATTCATCCACTCATCCACCCACACTTTCTATTCCCTGGACCCGTCCGATCCATCCACCACGGCGCGCTGGCGACCTCCACCGACATCATCCAAGCATCCGTCCCATCCCATCCCTAGCCATCCCATAGCTCGCCGAGTCGCCATCTTTCCAAAGGAGGGGATACGACGAGTATTGGGGCATCGCTGCCGGGATCTGGACGATGGGCGCCCACCAAGCTGCAGACTGCAGAATCCAGACAGCCTCCTGTGACGTCTGGCTGGCTCTTTCTGACTCTTTGGAACCCGAACCCCAACCACTGCCTCCCAGGACATTCCCAAGACCAGTATGCTGACCACCGCCAGTCACTGACCGCATTCTCGAGACTGCCTCACCCTGTCCTCACCATCGATGAACGCGTACTCACTTGAGTGCCGGCCTCTTTCGACCCTCTCGCAGGCCCTGGGTGGAATATGTCTTTTCCATCTAGCCTGGTCTTCAAAGGCACTGGCCGTTCTTTTCCGATGTCGAATTACGTACTGTCTTCGACTCAGTCTACCCCCACATTTGGGCCACACTTCGCGCCTTTGGCTCTTACAGCGGTGCATCGCCCCTCCACCTAGACGGGCCGGAGACGTGACACGACCGCAGACTTGTGACAGACTGACAGTAACCCCACGGCTAGATGGCGACTCTTTCTCCATTGGCCTCCCTTTCCTGGCGCCTATGTTTGGCTAGGGTCACTCTTCCAACCCATCCATCGCATCCAGAGATCGATACACAAACATGCCAGGCGACTATTTCAGCTTGTTGCTCCGACTCACCTGCGCGCGCACATGGCACGAACCTAAATAATAACATATGCTTCCTGATCACAGTACATACCATCCCGCCGGCTCATGCCTACCTGTGGATACCACACCAGACGAAGCAACAGACGAAGCGATCCAGATAAAACCACCATGTGCGGGCGGAATCTGACCAGCCAGATGCCTTCTTCCCACCACCATTTCGTCGTCCCGTCCAGTCACCAGGGACTTGGTGGTTGAGTGGTTCCCCAAAAGAGCCCCGCGCCGTCGTCCTCCGTACCGCCCTCTTCATGACCTCCAGAGGCAAGTGCTCGGAGAGTTTGCCGCTTATAGAAACCGTTGTCCGGCAGTCAGACGAGATCGGCCAGCCGCCGCGAACTCGGTCGAGCATCAACGCGGATCATGGCGTGGCGTCTGGGGGAAAATGGCCTGTTCTGGATGTGCCGTCAGATCTTGCGCCATGCTTGTGCATCTCTGCAAACCCCCAGCACATGTTTAATCCGAGCTCGACATGCCTTCATCCGACGTTGGAGGTTCCGTCGCGGGTTATTGGCTGCGGAGCGTGAGACATGAGCAGCTACAAGCTTTGAGGGTTCGACGTCCCTTACCGGAGACGGCCGCCGGCCGGCCAAGCTCGAAACCCGTTTTTCTCGCCGCCAGGGCTAGTAGCTCGGACACGGCAACATTGCTTCCGCTTGATTTAGATGCGGGCGGGGATGCATGTCGAACAACGGGTTCCATGGTGCACAGCAGCTGTCAAGAGCTTTGCCTGACCACAAGATCGGATAAGGCTGCCGGCCATCGGCATGCCGTGCAGGCTCGCCACTGCGGCGGTAGTCGTGTCTGCAGACTTCCGGTCTTACGTTACACATCCGAGTGAACGCCGTCCAGGTTGAGGCAGCCAGAGAGCGGCCCTCGAAGCTTATTTCAAAGCAAAGCGTTTCGCCCTCGGGCAGCGCGGCGAGCTCTATTAAGCCATGACGCCATAAGCGCCGGAAATGGCCCCCCCCCCGGTCATCTGGGTCCTCCCTTTCAGTGATCTGGAGGGCCGATGCCTGGCCTCAAACCTGTCCATCCTGCCGCAAACCTGGAAATGAGCGTGGGATGGAAATCTCACAAGTCATAACCTTTCAAGCTTACGGATGGCGACGAGGAACTTGTGTGTAAGACGCCCAAAGCGACCAACACACCTGGCGCTGCCCCCCTTCAGCCACATCAGGATCCGCTCAGGATGGGCGGGGGGGGGGGTCTCTTGGTCGTTTCCTTTGTGTGCTGCAAGCGCGGTAGCTTGTCTAGTCTGCGCTTCTGATAAAGCTCTTCAGCCAGCGAACACACACACACACATACGCACACACGCATATACGCCCATACAAAGACAACCAGTGGTAGATCAACAATCCATATCTTTATTCTGCAGCACTCCTCATCTCCCCTGTATCTCCTTGTCAGTCTACCGTCGCACCGGGAGTTGTCACACGCCCGGCATACGCACAGGTCACTGATAGCCCTACCCACAGGGCCGAGCCGTCTTGAGCTAGGCAGCTCGCGCCAACACGCCGTCATCATCCACGAATGAAAGATTCCATATTTCATCATCGATACACGAAGCTCTGGCGACCTTTCTGGATTGTGCTGCAGAATTGCTCGACATTTCCCACCAGCTGAGTAATTGCTGCAATCTTACAGGCCAGGAGATCTGCAGCCGACCCCGTGTCAACCCCTCGCATTACCCCCATGGCATGTTGCCCAGCACCCAACTAAGGAACCACGCCGTTACATGACCGGATCTGTGAATCATCACTTGTCTTATTGGACGAAGACCTGTCCCAGCGCGTGGTCTCTTGGACCTCTAGCTGCAGGTCCATCTTGATCTGGACTCGGGCGCATTGACCGTCGTGCGCTTCCCGTTGAAAAGAGGGCCCCGACTAATACCTGGATACCCTTTGTAATGCTATGGTTAACGAAGGCTTTGTGCATCGGACCACTTCTTGCAGCTTTCTAGGAGAGCTACTGAGATTTTCTCATCAGTTTGGGAATAGCATCTTTTCTTGTTGAACGACGACGAGGCCAACATGACCGACCCTGAGCTGGAGTCCCAGCTCTCTATCCTAAATCCTCGACCAACTCGGATCGCGGGACCTCGCCTCCTTCACCAACTTGTGCAGCTTACATCAGATGAATCGCTGCCAGCGATTCATTCACTCAATAGCCATGGACAAGAGTCGACTCTCTCTTACGCTCAGTTCCATGATGCCGCGGATGCCCTAGCAGCTCGGATCTCTCGTTTGGCTGCGATATACTCCGTGTCGGATGATTTCGTTATACCGATACTCATTCCCCAATGCTCACATCTTTATATTGCGATGCTGGCCATCCTTAAAGCCGGCGGTGCTTTTTGCCCTTTGCATCTAGATGCACCTCCTGAGAGAGTCAGATTCATCCTCCAAGACGTATCGGCGAAAGTTGTGCTTGTCACCCGGGACTTGGTATCAAAGATTCCCCGTGACGATGCGGAGAGGGTTGTCTTAGTCGTCGACGAGGAGGTCACTGATGATCCGAATTCATCACCAAGGCCCACAATCAGGCATATTGAGCCTCAACATCTTTCCTATGTCATGTACACTTCTGGGTCGACCGGCACGCCAAAAGGCGTTGGAGTCTCGCACGACGCTGCAACACAGAGTCTTCTCGCCCATGATCGGCATATTCCAAATTTCAGGCGTTTCCTTCAATTTGCCTCGCCGACCTTCGATGTATCAGTATTCGAAATTTTCTTCCCTCTTCTACGTGGATCAACATTAGTTACGTGCGATCGTGGTCGCATGCTTAACGATCTTCCTGATGTCATCAGGACTTTGCAGGTAGATGCATGCGAGTTGACGCCTACAGTCGCGGGCAGTCTACTTCGCTCGCGGCAGAATGCTCCCTGTCTAAAGCTCCTTCTGACGATTGGTGAGATGTTGACAGAGTCCGTTGTTCGCGAGTTTGGCGGCATTGACGTTTCGGAAAGCATGCTATGGGGCATGTATGGCCCAACCGAGGCTGCAATCCACTGGTAAGTGATTGTATGTCTTTATCGAAATCGTAAAAACTAACCCTTCGTAGCACACTTAGACCAAGATACCCTACGGATTGTCCCTCTTCGAATATCGGGTTTCCTCTGGATTCCGTCTCGTGTTTTGTCGCAGCTATCCCCGAAGACGGCTCCCCCTTCAACTTCAACATACTTCGAAAGGGGGAACTCGGCGAGCTTGTCGTAGGAGGATATCAACTCGCCAACGGCTATCTCAACAGACCAGAACAGA